CCTGCAGGAATTCACTGTATGGGCCTGCTGTTTAAGTGATACCTCATGAAAGATAACTAGTTGCACTCTGGTCTAGTTTACTTGTTTTGAAAAGAAAAACACACAATGAAAATGATATTAATTTTATTGCATCATTTTACTGACTAGAACGCCAGACTTAAGAGTGAATATAAGTATAAAAATAACCAAATTCTTACAAATAATACTTTGCCGCTACAGTACTGAATAATTAGTGGAGGTTGCAATTATAGCACAACTTTAAATAACATTCTCATAGTGGATTTAACACAATCAATCAGGGGCTAAGGTTTAAAGATTTACAGAGAGAAGTTGAGACAATGGGAAAGGTCAAAGCTCGTAATCCATTTATATGCTTCATTTAACCATGAACTCAGCAACACACACATGAACAATACTCACAGCAACCCATGATGAAATATTAAATTTCCCTTTAAAACACGCCAAGGTAACACAAAGATAAATGAGTCGGGTTAGTGTCTCAGGGTCGACTGGTTTGACCCCTTCCCTGTCCTGTCCCATCCTCTCCACCCAAGAGCCCTGTCCCTGAAGCACGTAAGATGCATCCAAAGACTCAACACAACCAGAACCTCATGTGAAGATTCTTTGAAATGTCCTCTTTAAAACCATCATCTCTTTGTAGACCTAAATTGCCCCTTCGGTTTCACAGGCTTAGACTATGAACAGTTTACACTAGATACTATGGATTGTAACACTATTGAAGAGATACTTTATAAAACAAATCCATTGGCATTTAATACTTAAATGGCCCTAGTATTTTAACAACAGGCTTCCTTGTCCAGGGATTTGAGAACAGAAAAAGGAAAAAGAATACATACCCAAACCCCACAAAGTCCTAGCTATTCCCCAAACTGCACAAGAGCCTTAGAATGATAGGGTGCCTGGCCATGTTTCTAAAAAATCCAGGCCAGCACCTCACACCTGCTACACCAAAGCCACTTGTCAAAACGTTTTGTTTTGTTTTGTTTTTGTGACTAAGCACAAGTCTACCACTATTGTCTTAATGATAATCACCAGCGTCAAAGACATAGATGCAAAAACAACCAAGGAAGGCATTTCCCAAAAAGGGGATTTAACATTTTTTTTGCACTTCATGCTACTCAGTTGGCTATTGCTTGGTAGCATTTAGGCTAAGAAAACCAAGAATTTATTTTTAAGCGCATTCTCTCTTGTTCTCTTTGGATAGTGATGCCTCTGGTGGGCAGGAGACGCAGGATGGGATAGAAGGTACAAAGGAGCGTCAGGTAGACTGGGACTAGAATCCCAGCTCTACTCATATAAAGCAGATTACTTCTCTGAAGGTTTCTGAGAAATGGGCATTTTCATGCCTACCTCTCAGGGGTGTTTGAGGCCAAGTACCTTGCATGGAGTCGTGTCATGGGAGGAACATATGAAAAAATGTTAGCTGTATCCTCCTAGTAAGCAGAATCTAGTGCCCCGGCCTGGTTCATGAGGGAAAGATGAGGAGAGGAAACATTACAGAGCTGCTTTTCACCAGGGCCCTGGCTAGGGGTGCTTTCCTTCCCATGGCAGGACACCTGACTACAGACTTTACCTTCTCACCCCATCAGGTGGTGGAGGCAAAGGGCTTGGAGACCCCTTAACTTGAGGCTGCTGGGTCACCTTTCCCAGGGGGACTAGAGTCTTCCTCTGGCACCAGGACCCCATTTTGGCACCCCAGGCTCTGGAGGCCCTCACTTTACTACTCTGTTCTTAGTCTCCTTCCCTGAAGGGGAAGCCTTCCGCTCTGTCCGGGTCACCCCTCTGGGCTCTCCCATGCATTCAAACTGAGGTGCCCGCCCTTCCCAGGAACCGGTGGCAGAGCAAAGGGGCAAAGCTGGTAAAACAGGACCCTGGGGTTTGCACTAGGACTTTGGAGGTTAAGTTCTTCATCCACAAAAGGAAGGAACTGGGGACACAAAGGGTGGGGGCAGGACATAGGGGGTTACTGATTGGGGGGCAGTAAAGTTCATTGATGCTCTTCATTTTAATCCCCCATCACTCTTCACTTTGCTTTTACAGAGAGAAGCCTGGGGCAGAGTGGATATTGATTTTGAAAACCACCTTATGGCGCTTACATGTCCTGAGTGTTACAAACACTTAAATGCACTCAGCTGCGAACTGGAAGATGGGAGGTTTGAGTTCACCCAGAGATGCCTTAGAAGAAATGCCTGATGATCAACTTCACGACCTTGAAAACCCTATGGAGGACACTTCTGACACCTAAGGGGTCACCATCAATTGAAGTCAACTCGATGGCAACTGGTGGTGGTGGTGTTTACACAAAATCCCCAGGTGCTGAGAGGCCACTAGGCAGCATGTCCCTGATGCAACAATGGGTGTGCTTCAAACGGGCCACACAGGTGCCATTCAGCCTGGCTCTTCCCTACAGAAGCTTAAGCATTGCATGAGTGGAAAGTGTCACTTCTTCCTTCCTCTGACCTTCCACTAGACGTAGGGCCCCATGGTACTCCAAGAGCATCAATCACAGCCCCCAGGCAGGGGCAGATACTGGAACACCTGGGGCCAGAGCTGAGAGCTCCTGGTGTGTCCAGCCCAGCTCTGTTAGTCCAGAGACTGGTGCTTGAGGGATTAACCCTAAATAGGGGTGAAGCCAGACTCTCCTTTCTTCACCTGGTGGGCAGCTAGTGCTGGGAAACAGGAATACTGCTTTTATGCACTTCTTAGAACTTCCTGGCTCTTGGGATGTACTTTCCCCATCCCCTCGGGCTCTTAGAAACTGTAGGGACTATGTTAACTCAGTCTGGCAGGGGTCTCATTTTTCACAGTTACAAAAATACACTCTTAATCCATTCCATATGAACAAAACCTACTAACTGGAAAGCATTTGCACAACTCCCAGGACATTCTTTTCTGGATTGGGAATCTGGTCAAGAATGCTTTTGGGACAGAACACTTCACTGTGTAGAATTTATAGTATTGGATATCAGAGGTGACTGCTGGGAAGGGCAGCAAGTCTGTGACTGCAGGTGAACTGAGTGTAGATCTGTGCTCTCCAGGTAGCTAGATGGAAAGGGCCATTTGACTCTGCAGAAAGATGCAAGACCTAGGATTTCAAAAAGGCAACATGAAGCTCTGAAATTTTAACTTGGCATCCACTGACCAAAACCAGGATTCTTTTTGCATCTGTCCCACGAGATGAGTGTATCTGAGTGCTAAGATGCACTGCACCTGACAAGCATTCCTGTCATGAGAGCGTGATGATGGTGAGCAATGGAGACCATGGCACACAGCAGTAAATGCTTACAACCAGGAGAATGAGGATGACGTAACAATAAGCTCTACATCTGCTCTGACAAGACTATAGAACCTTGAAGAAACATCTCTGCCCCACAGTGGAATTGTTCCCAGTGGCAAAGCCATTTCCAAGAGTGTGACACTGAGCACAAAGCTTCAGGGTGGGGACAATTCTTTTACTTCTGTGTTCTCTCCACGTCATCCAAAACCAGGAGGTTCCAAAAGCAGATGAAGAGAATTTGCAACACAGTCCCATGAGAGGCAATTAAAGACACTAAGCACTAGATAGGTCCTGTGCGTGTCCCCACTCCCCCCAAGCCGGGCAGGACCTACATCACAGGTATAAAGAATAAGACACAGGCATTTTCCTTCCCAAAGGCAAATTCTCAACTACTTAACTGGCCAGAAGTCTATGTCTTCAGTTCTCTGGCACTGACTTGACTTGTAGCCATGTTTCTGGGGGTAACTACATAGTAGTAGAAAGACGTCCAATTACTGGATGAGAAAAGATGAGTGATTTCTTCAATGAACAAATAGCTTTGAGCAGCTGAACGTTTCCATTGGGTTTGTGGACAGGGTTATGGGTATAAATCAAAGAGGAAGATAAACTCACATGAGGCTCCATCCAAGCTCACTATTTGTTCTCAGGAATCCACAGCTTCTCAAAGCACTGGCGTTTCGGGAACTCTCCTATGCTATCAATCACTCTAACCATCTTCAGCTGCAAGAATCACATCACGTTGCTTTTCCTCTCAGACACCACCTGCATTCTGTGCTTCATTTCTAACCCAGCCCCAGCAACCTCCAGCCTCCAAGATGGTGGTCGGAGTCCCAGGCAATGTGTAGTGCCCTCCCTGATTAAAAAAATAAAGTCCCCTCACTCTGCAGCCTGCTAGATCATTAATCACAGGGTATCTAGTCTCCTCAAACTAAAACCACAGACACATGGCTTTGCCCTGACCCAGACTTGTTTAAAGAAGGGAGATTTCATTGCAAAGGAAAGAAAGCAATTTCAAGTAAATGTGCCACCTTGAGAAAAGCAAACTGAAGCTGTATGCTGTGCCTCAGCCATTTCCATTCTTCACTTTGGGGACAGGCTTGCAAACTAGCATAATCAGACCCAGAAACCTATTAAAATCCTCTGTTAAACTGCAGCATCTTCAAATCTTAGTGGTATGTTTAGCATCGTCTGTTGTTTAGCATGTAGGCACCAGGCAGGAAATAACTAGAGCCAGTATTTTGCTTCAAATCAATCACCAAATTGAGGCTTATGGAACCGTCTGAGGAAAAGAGGCCTTCTTTTTTGGATAAGTCTTGAAATAAATTCCAAAGGACACTTCCCCATCCAATTTACTAAAGTGCAAACAAAAGAAAAACCAGGTCCTTGCAATGATGCCTAATGATTTGCCTTAGCTGGCAGTCATCCCTAGCTCTAGAGGCCACGTGGCGGTTACTCTGAGAACTCTCTTGGTACTGGCCCATATTCACATTCACAGTGTCAAATGAGCAGCCTGCTGCGCCACGTCCACAAGCCCTATCCATCCCCTTCCACTGTGGTCACTCCTGTTATGCTTCTCCCCCTTTCTTCTTGCCACTCGAGTGTGGCTCTGACAAGTCCGAGGAGCAGCCATGGGTGGGCTCCATCCTGGTGCGGTCCCAGGAACCTGCTCAGAGCAGCAGGCCCTCCCCTCGCGGATCTGTACTTAAAAGTAATCTCTTCTCCTGCTCTCATCACTGATGAATGAAGGGTTATACTGTCCAGGGAAAATGCAAGAATGCCGCGACCCCGGCAATCCAGTATAGGCCGGGTAGACTCCATTTCGTTCAAGTTCAGGATTCCTTACACCTGTGGGCTGGTGGCCAAAGACAAGAGAACATGTCAAATTATGGATCTTGAATTTAAATTTATAATGAAACAACAACAACAACAACAACAACAACAAACCCAAAATGCTACCTTTGAATAAATGTGGAAAGCAATTAGACATGGCAAAACCAAGACCTGAGCAAAAAGTCAGGATCCTGGGAGAGATACGTTTGCCAATATTTTTAAAGGAGATTTGAAAGAATGAGAATCAGGGCCAGCCCAGTGACTTTGGACTAATGTAAGAAAAGACCTAAATTAAGTCTATGTGATGACGATGGTGGTGGTGGTAGTGGTTATGTGCTGTGGAGTTGGTACTGACTCATAGCGACCCTCCATAGGGTTTCTGAAGTTGTAAATCTTTCTCCCATGGAACAGCTGGTAGTTTCAAACCCCTAACTTTGAGGTTAGCAGCCCGACTCGTAACCACTACGCTACCTTTATGTGATGATACTTTCGTGATTATTGTGTTTTGCAAGTATTCTTCCTTCTCTGCTGAGTAGACAGCTTCATGCTGTAAGCTTAGACTTTGCTTCTACATATGGCTCTGCCTACTATTTCTGAAGCGAAGACTGGGTTCATTTAAGTCCTTGACTATATCTTTTTAAGGCAACTCTTACTAATGCCATGGAAACGTGCAGCTAAGTTTGGTTGTATGACGCCAATGGTGCAGACCCACGTGCTGCTTTACGCTAAGGTTGAAGAGCCTCAGCCAAGGGATGTGAGCGTGAAGGCACACGTGGTTAAGATACCTTCAGTTATTAAAGTATGAAGACGATCCTGTCTAACAGAGCAAAAAGCAAAATCCTGAAGTAGAACTACCAACGGAAACATGTCAAGTAGAGTTTAGTTTGGGCTACATGAATGCTTTCCTTGTATTTCTTACGGTCTCCTTTCAGATTCAGTTTTTGAAATGAACCCATTAAAACAAACAGCACCTTACTTAGTAGGAACTTTCCCCTCCCATCCAAAGTCTGAATCCTCACAATTAATTACCATAGCAACCAGTGGGCTTATGGTTATGGTAAGGAAATTTTCTAGTGCTTTCTGCTCCCGTAAAGATTTATAGCCTCAGAAACCCTGTACAGGATCGTTATGAGTCAGAACCGACTCCACCGCACATAACAACAACAACAGCACCATTAAGTCCCTAGGGGCAGGGTTTCATGTTTATTGTTACAGCTCAAACCACTCTGCAGGGCACAAGAAGTCACTTGCCATCCATTTACTTTTCAGCTCAGGTATCCCTGTGCAACAGTGTTTGCTTTCTGGTTGGTGCAGGGTAATGTGAAATGAACCAGACAGAGCACAGAAATATGACATCACATTATTCAAGACCTACTTTCCCACTGCCAGTGAGTCACTTCTGAGGCTGTAAATCTTTATGGAAACAGACAACCTTATCTTTCTCCAGAGGAACAGCTGATGGATTTGAATCACTAGCCTTGCGGTGATCAGCCCAATTCCTAACCCACAGAGCTCCTTTAAAGACCTACTGAGCAGATAAAACTGGTAGATATTAGAATATGCATAATTGTTATTGGGACTCCTTGTGCGGTGCTGTAGGATAAGCACTGGACTGCGAACGACAAGGTCAGTAGTTCAAACCCACCAGCTGCTCCTCGGAAGCCCTATACAGGTTCACTATGAGTCAGAACCGACTTGATGGCACTTAACAAGGGGTTAATTAGGAAGAAGTCCTGGAACTGCATGATTAAGTGTTTGACTAACCGGAAGGTGAGCGGTTTGAATCTATCAGCAGCTCCGAGGCAGAAAGATGTGGCAGTCTGCTTCCGTGATGACCAAAGCCTTGGAAACCCTGTGGTATAGTTCTAATCTGCCCTGTAGGGTTGCCATGAGTCAGAATCAGCTCCACGGCAATGGGTTTGATTGGTTTGGGAGCAGATCATCTTCTAAACCTCAGAGAAGCCCTTGTTGACAACTACACTGAATTGTTTTCTTACGCCTTCTTCTGTTCCCCCAACTTTAACTACTTAAAGCATGGAAGACCAGAGATAAAAACCACAGGGCCAAGGACTACATACTCTAAATTATTTCTACTTTTCAGTTACTATAAGTCAAAAGCAAGTTTGGTAACTAGAGGGCTATTGCTACAACCCCTAAAAGTACTGTGCCCTATGGACATACAAAAGGGCTTCAAAAAGTTCATGGAAAAATTCCATTATCTTTTCATTCAATTTCCCATGAACTTTCTAAAGTCCGGCTCTGCCCCCCACATCCAAATGTCAAAACTTGGAAATATCATGTAAATAGATCATAATTGAATATTAAAGTACATAAATAAGAGACAGCTGGTACTATTGTCTTTAAACTTTAACTAGCTGGAATGCGTTCATTACCACAAAACAGCATTCCTTTACTTCTCAGAGGAAATGTGGAGCCCTGAGGTTGTACCCAGCACTGGCATACATACTGAGTAATAGACATCTGTCATCTGAAGGAGGTTTTTGGTACTTCCATTCTCATGCATTTCAATAGCTTCCCGGCCCCATTCTTGTGAGCGAGGGTTCTTGGGGTACTCAGCATATGGAGACATTTGGAAATCCCCACTTTTGAAGATAAGCTTGCTTAGGTCATTTTTATTTTTCCTGTTGGGTCAAAAAATAATTGAAAAGTTAAATGAATGAGTTCTGTAAAGAAATATCTATCACACACCAACGATCATTTTAAAGGGTCAATGAGATGGTAAGCCACCATTACATTTCTTTATAACTGTCCACTAAGGGTTTCACGGTTGGCAGTTCAAACCCACCAGCCCCTCTTTGGAAACCTTATATAGGGCACTCTGAGTCTGTACCAACTTGATGGCACTATAACAAAACAACAAGAACAAACATTTGTGATGCTAAAGAATAAGCATTGAACTGATGATGGTAAAGTCAGCAGTTCAAACCCATCAGTTGCTCATCAGGAGAAAGATAAGGCTTTCCGCTCCTGTAAAGAGTTACAGCCTCAGAAACCCTGTACAAGGTCCCAATGAATCAGAACAGACTCAGTGGCAGACTATGGTGTTGCTGTTAAGTGCCGTGAAATCAGTTCTGACTAATGGTCATCCTCTATAGGATGTCCAAAGTGCAGCTGGTAGGTTTGACTCACTGACCTTGTCATTAACAGTCCAGTTCTTATCCCACAGCACCAAGGACCAGATTATCAGACCAGAGAGGACAAAGACAGCTGCAGTGGGGGACAGTCTGGGGGCTTAGATCAGAAAGGGGACACAGATCACTGAACCTTGACGGTAACATGAGTCATAACTTCACAGAATGCTGGAGCCAGAAGGACCCTCAGTCCAATGATTCCCAACCTGCCTTAGCATCAGAATTTATTTGGCAAGTGTCTAGGTTCATACAGTTATTGAACTAGCAACTCTGGTTCAGTGAAGAGATGTGAGTTGTCCCTTGGATCACATTTTGGTATTAGAGAGCTAGGACTAGAATCCAGGCCTCCTGGTCAGTGCTGACATCAGAAAAACAGGCTATCTTGTGAGCAATGCCTCCTGCATATTTATTTATCTGTATATATTCTCATTTCAGCAGATCAGGACAACTGTGGGCCAGCCTTCCTACTAGGGAGACTTTACTGGTGTTAGTCACATATCTATAATGGGCCTTGGACCACACATTTCTAATGATATTTGCCCTGGGTAAGGTGATAATCTCAAAGTTCTTCCTTCTGCCTCAATTTCGTATAAATATATTTTGAGGGTAAGGCATGAAATGACTCAGGATTATAAAACCAAATGTCTAGTGTGTGGGATAGGCGTTGGCTCCTCTTCCAAGTTCAGAACAGACCTGCAACTGTGTTGTTTCCTGTCCGGTCTCAAACAATGACTTACTCATTTACAACTCCCTTCCCTTCCCAATAACCATTAACTACAAGCACCTTCCCCCAAATGGCGACAGGACACTCAGCAAATATAAGGCTGAAAACAGATCATGTGCTCAGATCCCTGCTGGAGTCTTGGTGGAGCAATGGTTAAGCATTCAGCTACTACCAGGCATGTCGGCAGTTACTGGCCACCACTCATCAGGAGAAAGATGTGGCACTCTGCTTCTATACAGATTAGAGCCTTGTTGGGGAGACCCGGGAACTCCTGAGCAAATGAACACTGCCCTAGCCACTGGGGGCTAGAGCTGAGAATGAAGCAACCAGCTGAAATGAAGTAGGGGGAGGCACGCAAGAAAATCCAAACTTGCAGATAGTACCTATTTGACCTACCTTGGATGGCTTGATGGTCAGAACTCAACTGGAGAAGATAAAGAAGTTTGATACAGGAAGTACAAATTGCTATAATTTGATGAACTTGACCTTTGCTTATGAATGTAGTTGCTCAAAATAACAACCAAGAGGAAACGAGTCTTCATATCAAGGATCAAGCCTATCCCCTTAGTACACAGGATTGATAGGGATAGGCAACTTAGACATTGGGTACCTAAAATGGGAGTGCGGGCGGCGGTGGGTGGGCTATAAAGGCACCAAGTGGCTAGTTTATATGTTTTCAAGGGAGTTTGGTTTCCAGAGTGAGGGTGGGGTGGAGGTAGAATCCCCACTGAATAGTTTTCATCTTGTCTAGATGGGTCTAGTGAAAGGAGATGGGATAGGACTCTTTGGGTCCAGTAATGAGTAATTGTTACCATGACTAATTGCAATTGCCACAACTGTAAAGGTAGAAGTTGTGTAACAAAAAGAGGGGAGTAGTTAATCTTACATTCCAGGCAGAGGACCATAAGGCCATCAAGAGGGAAGAACATGAGCGGATCATGGGGTCCTAACCAGAGAAGCAGCAACACCAGAGACGGAGGCAGAGGTGATGGCATGGAGAAACAGAGCAACTGAGGACTCTAGACTCCTGGAAAGAGAAAGACTATGTGCTGGCAGGCAGAAGGCTGGCTTGCAAATTGTGCCCTTTGATTGTTTAAATGATTATATATTCCTGCGTGTTTTTGTGTACATAAACAAAACAGGGAATAGAGACAAATACCATTATCAATGACACATGGAGGGGATTGTAATCATCGTAATGAAACCAAATACGATTGGTTGAATGCAAAACCAGTGTTCTGTCATATAAGCTATCACTCAATTCACAATAAAAGTTAAGGAAAAAACCAAAACCACAACAGATGATAGGCTTGGGAATCCCAAGGGGCAGTTCTATTCTGTTGCTAGGAGTCAGAGTTGATTTGAAAGCAATGGGTTCAAGTTTTGTTTTTGGTTAGGTAACTGCTCCTAGTCTCATACCCGGAATTTTAGCTCCACGCATACAGTTTATCTTTGACAGCTGGATGGCAATTTGGCAAATGATAGGCAAAGGCTTAGTGTACTGAGAGATCTCCATTCTGAATGGGTTGTTGTTAAGTCTGTAGAATCTGTAGAGTCAGTTCTGACTCACAACAACCCTTATGAACAACAGAACGACGCACTGCCACGTCCTGCTCCACCCATAATCGTTACGTTTAAACCCATTGTTGTAGCCAATGCGTCAATCTATCTTGTTGAGGGTCTTCCTTTTTTCCACTGACCCTCTACTTTACCAAGCATGCTGTCCTTCCCCAAGGACTGGTCACTCCTAAGAAGTCCAAAGTATATGAGACAAAGTCCATCTTTGCTTCTAAGGAGCATTCTAGTTATATTTGGTGGTGGTGGTTATGTGCCATGGAGTCAGTTCTGACTCATAGTGACCCTGCACAAGGTTTTCGAGACTGTAAATCTTTATGGGAGCAGAAAGCCTCATCTTTCTCCCGCGGAATAGCTGGTAGTTTCGAACTGCTGACCCTGAGGTTAGCAGTCCGATTCATAACTACTATGTTGCCAGAGCTCCTTTTTGTTTAGTTCAAGACAAATTTGTTCATTTTTCTGGCAATCCATGATATATTTAATATTCTTCTCCAGCATCATAATTGAAAGACATTAAAATCTTCAGTTTTCCTTATTCATTGTCCAGCTTTCATAAGACATGAAGTCACTGAAAATACCATGATTATAAGACTATAGGTGGAAGCCTGAATCACATCCAGATCTCCAGAGATGGGAGATTTCCGCTTGAAAGGACAAGCAGACCAACCTGGAGTGGCTAGAAGAACAGAAGATGCTTCTTGAAAGAAAGACCTACAGGAAAAATATAAAACAACATAGGCAGACCAACTGTTACTACAAGAATAAGCAACATGCTT